ACAAGGAGGGGGATGTATATTAAAGAAAGATATGAAAAATGTATATGAAGTTTCATATCTCAATACAAGAAAGTCAACTAGAAGAGCCCAAAAACTAACAATTCCCTGCTCCAAGGTATTACTAAAAGGGACAATGGAAAAGATTACTAGCATGGATCCAAACTCCCAAACCTTAGCTCCAACCAGTATAGTGAATTGGATAGATATCGAAAGATGGAAAGAGGTTATCATTAGAGACAATATTATAGAAGGAGTATATCAAGACCACCTAATAGAAATACTTCAATGTAACCTTGGATCCAATATTAAAAAACCAATCTTTTACTCTAATAGATCACTCATTAATCATGGAAAGGAAAAAATGAAAATGGAAGCAGCATGGATCTAGATAGGAAATATGGGTAGAGAAAGTAAATTTCAGATAGAAGTAAACAGTTGGTCCTTCTCAACACATACTGAACTTGTAGCAATTGTCACAATACTTCTGATAGTTCCAGTGGATAGTGACGTGAAAATCCATACAGATAGCCAGGCCTATATCTCCAAGTGGAGAACAATCGAAAAAGAAGATCCAAAGCAAACCTATAAAAGATGATTAAAGGAAAAAAACTGGTCCCTGTTGGCATGAATGTTAGAATTGGTAAAAAAAAAGACCATAAACCTACAACTTATCAAGGTCAAGGCACATTCCAATGATCTCTACAACAAAGAAGCAGATGCTCTAGCCAAAGAAGCTCTGAAACTCCCAACAATAGAATGGAAAGAGTTGACCTCATACAAGATCCTCACAAAAATTAGATAGCAAGAAAAGATGCTGGATTATCCAATAAGACAGTTTGTCAAAAAAGTAAACAATAAAACAATTGCCTTCCAGTGGACACAACAAAACAGAACCAAAAAAAGATGGAACCATCAAATTATAGAACAGCAAGATCATACTTGGGATCTTGTATGGGAAAGAATGAAAGAAGGACACACCTGGAACATTTCCTTTAAACAATCACAGTGAAAAAGCTTTCTCATAAAACTAATGAATAATGAGCTATCAACTTTGAACAAGCTGGCAATTAGAAGGCCTGATCTTTACAAACAAGTGAAATGTATTGCATGTAGCTAGCAATATGAAACTTTTGAACACTTATTAGAATGTCCAGTATACAAGAAACAATTATAGGAAGCATAGAATAAAGAATAAGATGGAATCCTTAGAGACTTCAGAGGGCTCTTACAAGAAAGAAAAAAAAAGGTAGAAGAAAAACATGCAAGGTTGATTATCCATGACGAAGAAGAAATGACCAAGGTGGATAAATGGATCTTCAAACTGGTAGAACAGATCTCAAAAACCAGTCAGGACACTTTAAGTTTTTGTACAGGACTAGTAAAGAGAGACCTAATTCTAAAAATAGCAGATCTGAAATGCCATGGAAAAAGAATTGGTAATAATGCAAGAAGATGAATATCAAAGATGCAAAGAAGAGTATGCAACCAAATAAGGAAAAAGATTTGAAACAAAAGATGTGAAAAGATAATTGAATAGAAATATTCATAGGGGATCCGCAGAGTAGAAAAAATCAACTGATCCTCAGGTATACATAGCTTAAAACCATCAGTCCCAAAAGTAAAGATCCACTATCAGAAGAAGGAACTTAAGAAAATGAAAGTTTGAAAGAAATTCTACTTAAAGGTATTACTTATGGAATGAAGTGGTTGGGTTTTAAGCTGGGTCAGAACAACAGATAGTAATCTGCAGTGGTGATCTGTAGGCAATAATATTAAAGATTGGAAGGGTATTCATCTGAATCATTAACGGAACGACAAATCACTCCTGAAGTTGCACTTAGAGTTTTGATATATTAAGTCAAAACAGCGACGAGTGAATTAGGTAAAGTCTTAGCTTTAGCAAATTATTTAAAATGTACAGTATACAAATGTTTAATAAAGCACATATACCTAGCCTGACCTAGAGTTATTAAAAAATAAAAAAAAAAAAAAAACTAGATAAGCTAATCTTCAAACTTATAGAAGAAGTTTTCAAAACTGATTATAGAATACTAAGCTTTTATATGGAATATATGAGAAGTAATTGACTTATTGCAATGGCTGAATTAAAATATTGTAATAAAAGAATAAGACAAAAAGCTTATAGATGGATTACAAAAATATAGAAGAAGGTTTGTAATCATATCTAAAAAAGATCTGGAACAAAAAATATACAAGAGTAATTGAATAAAAACAGTTACAGGGAATTAATAGAAAGAATAAGGTAAGAAGACCAAGTCTGAAAGTTCAAAAGATCAAGATCAAGATAAAAAAACCATCAATTTTTGAAGAATAATGATTGAATAATAAGAATTTGAAGTATATATTGACAAAAGAAATTGAATATGTAATGAACTAGTTGAGTTTTGATCTCTGTCAGAGTTTCGCAAAGTAATCTGCAGTAGTGACCTGTAGGCAATAATATTAATAGTTGAAAGGGTATTTATCTGAACTATTAATAAAGCAATAAATCACTCCTGTAGGTACACTTAGTATAACAATAGTAAAGACAGGTGAGTTAGTTAAAGATTTAGCTTTAGCATTACATTGATATGTAAAGTCTACAAAATGTTTAATAAAATACACATAACTAGCCTGACTGAGAAAAAAAATTATTATATGAAAGTATATAAATAATTAGATATACATTTAATACTTCAATAAAAATATATCTATCAAGATAATATAATTACAAGTAAATATATATATATATATATATATATATAGGTTAATAATTTATTTATGTTAAATTATTTAGTGATCCAAACAAGTGATAAAAATCAAGAGAGTAGTTCTCAAGCAGGTGTACAAAATTGGCCATCATTCACAAGAGCAAAGTTAGCAGCAATAGTCACAATCTTATTGATAATACCAGTAGAAAGCTCAGTTGAAATCTATATAGATAATCAAACATATATATCTAAATAAAGCAAGTTGAAAAAAGATGATTCAAAAATAACTTATGGAAGATGACTTAAAGAAAAAAACTGGTTTCTTTGAGTAAGGATGCTAAATATCATCAAAACAAAAAATATAAAATTGAAGTTGATTAAAATTAAGGTACACATCAATATCAAGAAAAATATTCTAGTAAACAAATTGACTAAAGAAACATTAAATCTTCCAACAATCCAATAAAAGAATCTTAAGTTTGACAAAATCATTATAGAAGTGAAATGGCAGAATATAATACTGGATAGTCTCATAAGGCAATTTATAAAAAGGATAAATAATAAAACAACAATATTCTATTGGTTACAACAAAACTGAACTAGGGACAAATGGAACCTTCAAATAAAAAATTAACAAATTATTTATAGGATATGATATGAGAAAGACTAAAAAAAAACATATATGAAACACCTCCTTTAAAAGTTTATAGTGGAAAAGTTTTTTGGTGAAGTTAATCAATAATGAACTACTAACAATAATCAAACTAATAATAAAAAGACCAGACCTATATCACAAAAATGACTGTTTAGTATATGGAGAATAGAAGAAAACAATAGAACATCTTTTGGAATGCCCAAGATATAAAAATATAATGAAGAAAGCCTGATTAAGAAAAGTAGAGATAATATATCAAGAATTTAAGAAAAAAAAGCAGAAGTAAAAAAATCAAGCTCAAAAAGAATACAGTAATATTCCAATAGTAGATAAAAAAAAAATGAGAGAAATAAAAGTATGGATAATAAAACTTATAGGAAGAGTATCAAAAAATAGTCAAGACTCAGTCAGTTTTCTCTCAGGGTTGATCAAAAGAAATCTTTTAAGAGAAGTAAGAAAACTTAAATATAGAGGAAAAAAGATAGAAACAGTAGCCAGAAAATATATACTCTGTTGTCAAAAGAAGATTTTGAATTACTTTAGAAAAGAAGTATGAAACAAATAATATGAACAAGTAATAGAATGGGAAAAAGCTTGAGGAATTTTTTGAAAAAATAAAATAAGAAGTTTTATAAAGTCTTATTTAATAAGAAAAAAGAAAAGATGAAGAGAAGAAAAAAAAGAAAATGAAAGAAGAATATCCAGGAAAAGATTTAATAAGAATAATAATGATGGAAGTTAAAAGTGATATGAAATAGTTGGGTTTTAGGTTCAGTTGGAACTTTGGCCAGTGATCTACAGTAGTGACTGCAGATAATGGTGTTCATAGTAGAAAGGTATTCACCCAAACTATAAATGGAGTGACAAATCACTCCCAAAATTGCACTTAGAGTTTAACAATAAACTAAGATGAGTGAGTTAATTAGCATTCTAGCTTTAGCTTCACTGTAAATAGTATAGCCTATATTATATTTAATAAAGCACACATAACTAACCTGATAGTAAGTAATATATATATATATATATATATATATGTTAAATTATTTAGTAAAAATAAATTAAGAATTTATTTATATTATTAATTTAACAAGTTATTTACTTTTTTGATAAAAGTTATACAAGTAGCATTATATCAAACAAATATTTTTTAACTAGTAAATTAAATTAATAAAATAATATATTTCAAAGAAATCAAAACATAGTATCTATAATTTGCTAATATTATTATTAATAAATTTTAGAATTTTTAAAAATATTAAAAATGTCATTTTTCAAATAATTCGACTTTGTGTAAATTGGTTTAAATAATGATATATTTATTTATTTAACAATTCGACATTAAAAATAATTTTTTAGTGCTAATTTCTTTTATTTCTAATTGAATAAATTTAATGTAGATTTTTATAAAAATATTTGGTCATGATGATTATACTTAAATTGTTGTTAATAGAAAATTTATGCATTTTCATTTATTTGTTTATTATTTGCATGATCTTATCTATTGCGTATTTTGAATAGGTGTCAATAAGCTATCCATCATAACTGTGTATATTTTGGAACACGCGTCCGTGCACTGTTCGATGGCCTACAGCGCAAACATTCTTAAAACAGTTTATTAAATTCCAATGCATATGTTAAGCGCAAAATTTTACCTGAGTAATCAAAGTTGAATCTGCTTCTCCAGATTGCAATATATGAGTTACCTCTTTTAATGAAGGCATATAGGATATAACCAATGATCCAGATTCATGTTGTTCCTCTATTAAATCGCAATCCATATAAATCTCTCCATTAATGTATGACTAATGATAAAATAAAGAATGAGATTTTTTGAAAATCAAATGATAAAGCAATGCTCTGCTCACCGCTGAACAAGCCGGAACCAGATCCAACATTTCGATTCCGGCATCCGCAACTGCTACTGATGCACATGTAACAGCGGCAGCTAAACACGAAGCGGTTCCATCATTTTCCAGAATAGTGATATAGATATCAATTGTTGATTTAGGCAACAATTCAAGTCTTATTGAAGGGGCCAATGCTTCATATATTAATTGTGACAACTCCCTTTCTTGAGCATCCTATATAGCAGAGTCAGTAAATAACAAAATTCCTTCACGGATAAAAAGTAAAAATTGATTTACGAGTGTTTACACGATATGGTTGTCTACGTTTTGGGCAGGAGAAAGGCGCAAATTTTATTTCACAATTCAGATTCCCTTTACCGCTAAAAGAAGGAATCTTTGTTTGCCGTGGGCCATATCTATAAGATAACCAAAATAATTAGAGCCATCTTAAATATAATTAATCAGTTTCGGACTTACACGCCACAAGCAATTTTCGTTTGACGTAATTCTATGAATGCTGAGCCGTTAGCTTGGCTTATAAGACCGGTTTTCAGGACTAAAAGTAGAATGCCCTAAGAAACCGGTCATAACTAATTCGTGATTTCAATTACTGTACATACAAATCGGACGAATCTCTTCCACGTTCCTTCCGTCGTGTCGATATAAATTTTCATTTAATAAGCATGGTTTTTTGGCTTCGGGTGATTTCAATATGATTGGGGCGACGCTTATTTCTGGTCCTTGAATTCGTTTTCTATCAGACATCGTTTCGAAATTCAAATCAAACAATGATAATCTATTAACATACTGTAAATACAGTATAAATGATTTAATTTTATAATACAGTGTTCACATTTTATAGTATTTATTATGTATGTGCATATGGAATTTAAATATACTAAATATACTCGATTTTTTTAATTTAAAACAATAAATACTATATTTCAGGGCATTCGGGTTTGAGAGTTCGTGACCATTATGTCATAAACTATCTTACTCGAACATTTAATTCTTACTTCTATTGACAAACTGTTTCAAGTCAATCGTTGACATTTTACTAGTACGTCAATTGAAAAAGAAAAATAGCGAATCGGATGAAGTATCACCAAGAAGAGGTCATTCTTCATTTATATCCAGAAAATATATCAGGACGAATCTAATCCATGAGTATATGATTCCAACTGCACAATACACGGACGTGACTAACAACGGTAAAAATTGATATTCTTCGTTTTTAAAATATATCTGATGGACTATCCCGGTGAAGAATTGTAGAACAACGAATCCAGCAATATATACGTTTTCCGCAAAACGTGCCACACGTAGAAATATGGAGATCGCGGTTCTTGGTGCTTCGGATTTGCTAATAAAGAGGAAAAAAAAAAAAAAGAAAAAGAATAATCAATAAAAATTTAAGATCGAAGAAAAAAAAAACTCCCCCATTTGATTTTTACTTTGGAATACTAAGAGAAAGCCCCAAACAGGTTAAAACTATCCACAATGCGCATATAGTCATCTTGATGGTCGATTCTTTGTAAAGTTCGTGTACAATCAATCAGTAATTGAAATATAATGCAACCATTACGCCTACTCCTATAGATACAAACCTGTCGCCTTAAATAAAAGGGGAAACAAGGAAAATAATCCAGATATAGATAAAACTGCAAAGGTACGCAGATGTTGAATACTTTCCGCTGCAATTAAGCTATAATCGCAAAGGTTAATAATGGGTGCAATCTCATCATTAAAATCCCACCAAATCATAAATAATAAAATACCCAAAAGGAATCATGATTAGCAATACAGCTTTTTCGTGCACGTGCCATCCAAAAAGAAATGAGGAATAGCCGCACAATAACAATGATCCAATGAAATTTTTGAAATTTGGATTTTTCCACAATTTAACTAGTGATGCCTAATCAGAATAAAATAAGCATCATGTTACTTTTACCATCATCTGATGATGAATTTCAGAAAGGAAATACTAACGGCCTGAAAAACTAAAGTGACGGCGAACGTATGATTGGCTTGAATTTGCGGTAAGATAGCATAATTGGTGTCTCCAACCAGACCTCTGGTAATGGAGGATAAAGCCAGTTCATTGAGTCGCCACCCCAATTTTTTAGCGGCTGAAAAGAAATACTTGAATTTCAGTTTGCAATCAGATAATTTTTGCAGTTTTCGTAGATTTTTTTCGCACCAACAATTAAAACGCGGTCCATAAAGGAATATAAAGCCCAGAAATTAGGTGCCCAATAAGCATGGCAAAGACCCCGTTTGAAAGGAAACAAACGCGAGAGAACTTGCTTCAGCTGACCCATATAAATGAAAGGTCCAAATGAGAGGGAAAAGATCGAAACAACTGTGATCCCAAGAAGGAAAAACCTGGAGAAGGAAAACTTCACACTTTCTGAACAGAGGATGTACGTATTTAATATGAGATTATATCTCGGCTTAATTCTGCGAGACCGGCTAATCGTATAAAATCGAATAGCTTTACTTACCTGTCCCTACGATCCTTTGGAAACAATAATGTCTCAACAGGTATACAAAGTAAACGGGGGCGAGATAGAGGAATATATGCTTAAAATTCAATAAAACGGCGAACATAACTCCGCACAAAAGATCATTTCCCTTGTATATCCAAAAATTAACCAAATAGAAGAATCATAATAAAAATCTATAAATAAAAAACATTTAATGATGATAACCCAGCATAGGTGATTGATGATGGAAAATTTTTAATTACCTCTTTGGCATACGCGATCGAGAGTAATAACATTCCGAAAAGAAATCCATTGTATTGAAAATGAACGTGTTTGCAAATGTCAAGGAGTAAAATGAGGTTTAAGATAATCATAGATTATCATCCCTGGGATCGATTAAAATACAAAATATTTCAAGGTTGTGAGGAAAGAGAAAACTCGTGAAAAATCAAAAGGATATGATCAACCATTAAAAGACCGGGATTCAGAAATGTAGAAGCAGCAATAATATATCCTGTGGTCTTATTTTCAGAAAGAACCAATAACCTAATAATGTCAACGAGTAAAAGTTAAAGTTATTGGGCAGAAACATTCATATGATTTATAAATAACTAATTTCAACGGGAACGTATCTTACTTTTTTAATGCATAAAATAAGACCAATTCGCTGATAATGACAGTTGTGCGCTGGAAATAAATCGTTGCTTCACTTGCATAGTTGAGATTATCCACCTCGAGCATTTCTTTATCTGCGAGAGGCGCGAATTGAGACAAGAACCATTCGAACCAAGCGAATAATGGTGGATAGTCCAACGTCCATTCACTCTTATCCTGAGTATAAATTTGCAATTAGAATTCAGAAAACCACGTAAATCGAGTATGGAGAAGTTTATTGAGGTTCACCTCATAATACCATTTCGATAATGGTAAACTATGTGTTATAGCGAGCCAATTTCTGTGTACCTCAAAGTCGGTTGAACGACTTAAAACATATGAATCCGTAAACAAAGATTCGTCAGCATTAAAAAGTAAAGGATTAATAGAAAAAATAAGTTTAAAATAATTACTATGCAGGAAAAAGTAATAGCTTTACGAGTGTACTAAAAATCAATAAATCCTGGAGCATCTTTGGGATAGTAGATGATAAAGACACGATTTACGTAAAATTTTGATACTTTGGTTGGTTTGCTAATTTTGGCAAGTTTCTTTTTTCATCTAAATAACGAAAATCTCTTATTTACGAAAATCTCTTATTTGAAATTATGTTTTTTTTTTAAAAAAAAAAAAAAAAGATTATTTCTATTAAGGAATTAATTGTTTTTTATTTAAACATTAACTTAATAGGTTTAACATGCATCTGGAGAATTAAATACTAAAGCACTTTTATAGTACCATCAATTGTTTAAACAAAATTTCTTGCACGATTTTTCTAGTCTCATTATCTTTAGTCTCCACATTTATATTGTTACTACTCAATTTGATAACAACTCTGGGCGATTCGATGTAAATAGTTGATGTCGAATTATTTATATCTTCTTCCAGTAAGACTCGGCTCCCGTACTACGGTTGATTGAAAAAAGTCGGTCAAATATTTATCGCACATGCAAGACGAATAATCATGTTTTGTTCACAACTCACAATTTGTTGAGTTAGCTGGTTCATCAGCTCAAACATGTTAATTCTCCCCAGTAAATATGTGGGTTTCAGAGATTCTCCATAATTTCTGGAAAGTAACGAAACTTGATTGTTAATCGATTTCAAATTAGCATTAATTACCGCAAGTTTCGATCGACCAACGTCCTTAAGATAAATTTCTGCGGCAAGCTAATTAAAAAATTTTCATTTTAAGTAACCGCTCAAATTCGGCACAGGAGATAAAGAGATAAATCAAAACTTCGCTACTTTGTCGGTCATGTAAGTCCGTGCGTATTGCGAATTCACAGATATATTTAGGTTGTCCAAATTATTATATAAAGTGACCAACGATGAAGATAAAATCTTCCGTATA